GCTCTTCAAGACCCCGTTTGGGATTTTTTTGGCAAAGATGCTGGAGTGGTTTGCCATTTCCTTTTCCAACTCATTTTATAGATGAGGGAACTGAGGCAAACAAAGTTAAGCGACTTGCCCAGGGTCACACGTAAGTGCCTGAAGCCAGATTTGAACTCAGGAAGATGAGTTTTCCTGACTCCAGGCTAAGCACTCTATCCACTCTGCCACCCAGCTGCCGTTCCTTCATCTTTACAGATGAGGAAATAGGAATCTTCAGTGATCTGTCCAAGGTCATACAGGCAATGCGCGTCAGAGGCTGGATTTGAACTCAGGTACTTTGACTCGAGAGCAGCTTGTACCATAATTGTTTGTGTGTAGGCATTCTATATCTGTACCTCCCCCTTAGTTTGTAAATCATTTTAGAGCAGGGACTGCATCTTTTTTGTGTTGTTTTCATTGTTGCACGGTGCCTCATACATTACAGGAGCATAATCCAGGTTGAACTGAACCAAATCCTGTCTCTGTCACTTACAACTTTTGTCACCTTGGGCAATTTGCCTGATATCTCTGAGCCTCAGTTTCCTCATCTGTAAAATGAGGGAGTTGGGCTAGATGATCTCTAAGGTTCCTTCCAGCTCTAAATTTATAATCCTACAAATGAAGTAAATGAGAAATTGCAATTAAAATTGTAGCATGGGGAATCAGAGCAGCTCCAGAAGGCAGCCAGGCAGTCAAGGGGGGGAGTCACAACTAATTTTTTGCACTTTTCTGTTGAGGAAGTGTTGGGAGGGCAAAGCAAGAAGCTATCAGTTGAACTCCCCAGAAGCTCTAACAGTTTGGTATTATGGGGTTTATATTGTAAGATAGTTTGTGCAACTAGGTAGGGGTGGAGGAGTTTCTCATTTGAATCTAAGGGGTAGTTCCATTTTTTGGAAGATCCACCCTGTTCTGTCCTTCCCCTTTTTTTCTTTCCCCCAGACTTGGGATGGTACTCTGTAGATAGGACAGGATGCCATTTTTGCTCATTACCTTCTTAGAGTTTGGGATAGTGAATTCTAGTGATGTCAGGAGAACAGAATTCCAAACTCTGCCCCTACCTCACTCACTATATGACTGTGAGCAAGTTACTTAGCCTCCCTTGGTACTTAAGTGAGAAGCAATTGGCGTATAATAGGAAGAGTACTGAATTTAAGACCAAGGACATGGGTCTGTCACTTATCAGCCACGTGACTCTGGAAAGTCATTTAACTGGAGCCTTATTTTTCATCTCTGTAAATAGACAAACCTATCCTATCTATTCACAGTGTAATTGTGTGGAAAATGTTTTGTGAATCACAAAACATAATATATTTTAAAGTGCTTATCACAATGCCTGGCACATAGTAGGTGCTTAATAAAGCTTGTTCCATTCATCCATATAAATGCCAGTTTTCATCTGCAAAATGTGGAAGAACCATCCCTGCTTTCGATTTATTTCTTGGAGGAGAAATTTAGGTACTTTTTCCTGGTTATTATTTGTTCTTCAGATGCAGGGATGTTCTACCTCTCACTGCCATACAGCACAATAAAATGCTAATATGGAAAAGTTGGGCCCTTGTTTTCATGGGGAGTTTGGGATCAGTAAAAGCCCTTGGTAATTTTCTGAAATTATCCAGCTTATTCTCCTTCTTTTCAATTCTGGTCCAGCTTGTTGCCTATTTGTACTGTCTGTCCCAGGTATATGTACTATTGGACATGCTCTAGAGGGAATCTACTCACATGCATGTTGAAATCTGGGCAATGATATTCTTCATCTGTTTGGTCTTTCTTGGGGGAAAGGGGAAGGAAATAAGCATGTATTAAGCACCTAATATGTGTCATCATCATAGTTGTTGTTTGTCCTTTGTTCTGAAGAGGACTAATGACATCACAAGGGTGATATTTTGACTTCCTCCTGACTTGGATTTAAGTGAGGCAGAGCTTCAGAAAGTTCTCATCCTCACTCTCCTCCTTCGAGTTACCAAACTCAAGACAAAAGTCAAGAGAGAGGAGAAAGATCATGTGTCAGGCACTTTGCTAAGCACTTTTTCAAATATTATCTCATTAATCCTCACAACAGACCTTTGTGATAAAGACTATTATTATCCTCACTTTTCAGTTGGGGAGGCTCAGACAAACAGAGGTTAAGTGGCTTGCCCAAGGTTACACAGTAAGTAAATGTCTGATGCCAGATCTGAACTCAGGGCTTTCTCTCCCCCTGCCCCCACTTAATAGTATTTTATTATTTTTTTCCAATTATATGTAAAGATGGTTTTCAACATTCATTTTTGTAAGATTTTGAGTTCCAAATTTTTCTTCCTCCATCCCCTCCCAACACAACAAGCAATCTGATATAGATTATACACGTACAATCATGGTAAACATATTTCCACATTAGTCATGTTGTGAAAGAAGAATCAGAACAAAAGGGGGAAAAAAAGCAAGAAAGAAAAAAACAAACAAAAAAAGGTGAAAATAGTATGCTTTTATCTGCATTCAGACTCCATAGTTCTTTCTCTGGATGTGGGTAGCATTTTTCATCATGAATCTTTTGGAATTGTCTTGGATCATTGTGTTGCTGAGAAGAGCTAAGTCTATCATAGCTTATCATTACACAATGTTGCTATTACTGTGTATGATGTTCTCCTGATTCTGCTCACTTCACTCAGCATCAGTTCATATAAATCTTTCCAGGTTTTTCTGAAATCCTTCTGCTCATTATTTCTTATAGAACAATAGTATTCCATTACATTCACATACCACAACTTGTTCAGCCATTCCCTAAATGATAGGCATCCTTTCAATTTCCAATTCTTCGCCAGCACAAAAAGAGCTGCTATAAATATTTTCATACGTGTGTGTCTTTTTCCCTTTTTTTATGATCTCTTTGGGATACAGACCTAGAAAAGGTATTACTAGATCAAAAGGTATGCACAGTTTTATAGTCTTTTGGGCATAGTTCCAAATTGCTCTCCAGAATGGTTGGATCAGTTCACAATTCCTCCAACAATGTTTTAGTGTTCCAATTTTCCTACATTTTCTCCAACACTTTTTGCTTTTCTGTCATATTTGCCAATCTGAGGTGGTCCCTCAGAGTTTGTTTTAATTTATATTTAATTTATATTTCTCTAATCAATAGTGATTTAGAGCATTTTTCATGACTATAGAAAGCTTTAATTTCTTCATCTGAAAACTGCCTGTTCATATCCTTTGACCATTTATCAATTGGGGAATGACTTGTATTTTTATAAATTTGATTCAGTTTTCCATATATTTTAGAAATGAGACCTTCATTAGAAACACTGGCTGTAAAAATTGTTTCCCAGGCTTCTGCTTTCCTTCTAATCTTGCTTGCATTGGTTTTGTTTGTACAAAACTTTTTTAATTTAATGTAATCAAATTATCCATTTTGTATGTACTTCCTAGGGTAGTCAGGTTAAACTCCTGGTGAGTATGAGCAGGCTATTACATATAACCTTAGAGTCCAACTCCTTCTTCCTCCCTTGTACAGATTTAAAAAATTGGAGGTCAGGCAGTTTAAGTGATTTGCCTAAAGTCACACAGGTAGTAAGCATCATATGTGGGATCTGAACTGAAGTCCACTGACTCAATAGTCCTTTCATGTTCCATCACACCACATTGCTAATCAGCAAAGGCAGGACCACTTGTTAGGAATGATTTTTGTTTAAGTAAGGCTTAAAGTCTCTGAAGTTATCCCTGCCCCTGAAATTCTGTGAGTTAAGTGAGTTGCCCAAAGTCAGGCAAATGGTGAGAGCCAGAGCCAGAGCCAGAGCCAGGACGCAGATCTCCTGACTTCTAGGAGCAACAGTTACCATATCTGTCAATAGTAACAATTCACAATGATTTGATGCTTTGAGGTTTACTAGAAGTGGTAGTAGCAAGGCAACAAGGTGGCATAATGGATAGAGTACCAGACTTGAGCAGAATTCATAATCCTACCCCAAGTACTTACTGTGAAACGCTGGGCAAATTATTTAACGACTTGAGCGTCACTTTTCTCTTTTGTTAAATGGGGATAATAATAGTGCCCATTTTAGAGTTGTGAGGATCAAATAATTTTTGTATATACTTTGAACACCTCAGAGTGCTGTATAAATGCCAGCCTTTATTTACAAAGGTTTCCCCACAAATATTATAATCTCTACCCCCCCCCTTTTTTTTTAAAGCCTATGAGGAAACAGAGGACTAGAGAGGTTAAGTGATTTGTCCAAGGTCATAGAACTAGTAAATACCAATCTGGCATCCAAAATCAGGTTTTCTGACCCTATAAACCAGCAGACTCTCCAGAACACTAAGCTGCTTTCCTATGTAAGTGGATATTATATTTAGAGTTGGAAGGAATCTTAGAGGTCATCTCATCAAGGTCCCTCATTTTACAGGTGAGGAAACTGAGGCCCATAGGGGTTTAAGTGAGCCTAGGTCTCCAACGTTTAGCACAGTGCTTGGAACATAGCGGACACTTAATAAATGCTTGTTGACTGACTTGAGGATGGTCTGACTCCAAAGCTATAACTCTTTCAACTGCACTATATTGACTTTTATTATGAATTGTTTTGTTTTATTTAAAGAAAAAAAAAGAAAAAGGATCCTGGGAGAGAATAAGTGATAAGGGATAGATATGGGAATCCTCTGGGCTCTTGGGCCGAAGCGTGTAAATTCAAAAGATGTAATCATTTATTACCAGCAACATCATTATCCAACGCCCCCAGAAGGGAATACTTTCTCCTCCCTCCTTTTCAGGAAGCTGCGGATTTGTCTTTAGGAGGACGTCCCCTTAATCGAGAGAGGTTGAAAGGTATAGGGATGGGAGCGGGGAGAGAACACCCGTGTGCGCTATGCATGATGGGATTTGTAGTCCGGACATGCCCGGCCTGTGGCCCTCGTCGAGTCCCGGCCGCAGGGGCCCCTGGAGAGAACTCCACTTCCCGGCATTCTCGGCGGCGGCCGTAAAGCGCGAGGGCCTACTGGCCGGGTTCCGGGACTGAATGTCAGTACCGGGCTGTGAGGCTTAGGGGGAAGGTGGTTGGCGGTTCGTCTGCGGCCACCGCCGCCGCCGTTGCCGCTTCTGCTGCCGCGGCTTTTCGGCGGCTCCCGGGATGAAGTCGTGAGGGGATACCACAGGGAGGGGGCCGCGGAGATGTTTGGCCGCTCGCGGAGCTGGGTGGGTGGGGGCCATGGGAAGTCCTCCCGCAGCATCCACTCCTTGGACCACCTGAAGTGAGTTGAGGGAGGAGGGTGGTGGCTTTTTTTTGGGGGGGGAGGAGAAGGAAAGCAGAAGCCTCCAGATTGGGGGTGGGGGAGTGAAGAGAGGGGACAGCGAGACCCTGGGTTTGGGGACCAGGCCGGCAGGTGGCTGAGGCCAGTGATCAGGACCTACATTCTGAGGCCAGGGATAGTAATGAGGGGGGAGGGTAGAAAAATGCCCCCATCATGTAGGGAGGAAGATGGGGACGAGAAGGCCGAGGGCCCGGGGTTGAAGGGCGGGCGATAGGGATGGGGTGGGGGGGGACCAGGAAGGAGAAAAAGTCTCTTGGGATGGGGGCGAGCACTTGGAAGAAGAATGCAGTTCTCCCGGGGGTGGGGTGGAGAAAAGGGGTATGGAAAAGGGGTACGAAAGAAAGGTATTGAGGGTGGGGGTGTTACCGATCTCTGAAAAGAAGACTGATCCTGGGGGCTGGTAGGGTGGGAGTGGGAAGAGTTTCTAGAGGGGAGCGCAAAATAGGAATCTCAGAAGAAAAGAAGGGCAGTGGGAGTTACGGAGGAATTTAGACAGGTGAGGAAAAATGTACGTCCTTGTCAGTCACCTCTGGTCGTTTTCTCTTGCCTGTTCAACAATGCCTACCGAATTTTGACCGACATACCGCAGAGTCCTGTTGGATGTTTTCTTGCCCTTGTTTGCATTTCGTCGTTCTCGTTCAGTTTCGGTGGACTTCTTCCCTTTGCTCAGCCTTGACAGTTTTTTGGTTTTGCATTTCTTTGGGTCTCCCAGCTCTTAGAAGTGACTGGCACATAGCAAGGGGTTAATAAATGCTTGCTGACTGGACGCAATAGATCTGAGGATCAGAAGGTGGAAGAGATCTTAGAAATTAAGTGGTCCAACCTTTATAGATGTGTCAACTGTGGTCCAGGGAAGGGAATTACTTGCCTAGTATCACTGCAGTAGCGGAGCTAGAATTTAAATCCAGACAATTCTGATTTCGGTTCTAGAGCTCTTTCTACTATGCTGAGAAGTCAGGATCGGTTAGGTGAGAAGTTAGGAACTCTTTGATTTGTGTCTGGACCAAGAGATACTGTGAAGATTCTCATTTTTTTCCTGGAAGTGTCCTAGAAAATGCTTATATTAACTGTTTAGCTTGTGTTATCAGATGCTATTTTATCACTTTATCCATCATTAATTAGATCTACCTAATCAGTGTTACAGATTAAAGGAATTGTAAAGTTGTTTGCAGTCTTGGAATACCTGTTTACAAGCTGACTGCTTGGAAATGATTCTTGCAGGACAAATGAGCACATAGACTAAAACTTAAGATTTTTGTTTTTTTAAAGTTTGCCTTCACTGAAGGAAGTATTTGGGCAGTTTGTGATTGTGGCAAAATTATTTTTCTGGATGTATCTCTTCTTCACTTTCCCACCCTGCAAATCCTAATGAGAGATGAAAAGATCTTCCTTTTAGTCAAGATTTTAGTTTTCTAAAAGGATGGGCAACTGTCTTAATTCCTAAACTGCTTCTTAACACCCTTTGTGCATAGACCTATAGAGATTGCATTGAAGCACATGAAATCAGGTGGCCATACATAATCTGAGCTGTGTGGTTGGAAAAGGTAGCAATATACAGAGAAGATGTGTAATTATTTACCAAAATACCATGATCCGTTAGTACTTGGAATAATGGCAAGGACCTGATGCTTGCTAATACAGTGTTTGTTACTTTTATTGTTACAACTATTTGGACACCACTGAAACAAAATATTCTATACATATTCAGTTTTTAATAGGAACTTTAAACTGGTTTAGCTTTTTGCTTGCCTTCCCAATTCTAGCAAAGTTTGGCATATTTAAAAGTTGATTATGATGGCTATTCTATTTTTAGGACATCATTATGTCCTTAGGACATCATTATGTGGTGTAGGGAAAAGTAAATTGTATTTTCTCCTTTGTGGACATCTCTAAGCCATGCTGCTTATACTCTGGCCTCTTTCTCCTCCCACCTGAACTTGTAATCATGACCTAGGGCTCTGACTGGAGAGCTTTTACCTTATCTTGCATATCCCAGATCCACAGTAGTACTTCCTGGCCATCTCCCAGGGAAGATTACCTTCCCCAACTCTACCCCGACCCCATCCCTCCTTTCAAGTTCTAGCTCCTCTTATGTTTTGCCTTTTATTAGAATGTGAACTCCCTAAGGGCAGGGACTGTCTTGCTTGCTTATTTTGTATCCCTAGTACTTAGCACAGTTCCTGGCACAGGAACTCATTGGGAGTCTGGAGATTTGGATTCTGGTAGCTGCCCAGCTGTTGCCTTGCTGTGTCACCTTAGATGAGTTATTTAGTATTTCTGTTCTTACTTCCACCACCTGTAAAGTGAAGGGACTGGTGTATTGGAAAGCAATTTGGAATTGTTCTAAGAAAGTGACTAAAATTTCCTTCCCTTTGATCCCAAGATCTCACCCCAGGGTATAAAAACCAAGGAGGTCAATGCCAGCAAGAAAGGTCAAATAGACATAAAAAATATTTATATCCCACTTTTGTAATAAAAAAGGAGAAACAAAGTAGATGCCTATCATTTGTGTAACGGCTACTCAAGTTGTGGGTATATGAATATTACCGGAATTAGTGGAATATTACTGTAGTATAAGTGGAATTAGTGGAATATTACTGTATTATAAGAAATGGGAGTTTGACTCTTCAGGAAGAATTTCCATGTAAACTGTAAGACATAACACACAAGACGTGATGTGTCTTTTCTATTGGCTCATGCACAATTTCAACCCCCCACAGTTATTAGTAAATGTAATGTTTAGTGATATTGTCAGCTTCCTGTTTAAATATAATTAAGGCCATTTATTTATTGGAGATATTTTTCAATAATTTTTTTAAATTGAAAAAAGAAAGAAATGATGAATATGATGACTATAAGGAGGCATGGGAAACTTACATGAACCAATAAAAAGTGAAATAAACAGAACCAGGAAAACAATATGCACAGTGACTGTGACAGTGTAAATGAAAAATAACAACAAAAAATTGAACACTGTATAATTATAATTACCAAGTTTGACTCCTAAGGAGAGATATGAGAATATACAGTATTCCCTTCTTTGCATCTATGAATATGGAATACTATACATAACATTGATGTGTTGGTTAGTTTTGTTGAACTACTTTTCGTCTCTTTTTCAAAATTTGTTATAGGGAACAGCTCTGTGATTTAGGGAGGAGGAAGGGATATCTATTGGGAAATGAAGTAACATAAAAAAATCTCAATACAATTTTTTTTTTAGTAAGGGAGGGAGATTGGACTAGATAGGTGACCTTAAAGGTCCCTTCTAGTTCTAAAATTTTTTGAATCCGATTGATCTTCTTAAAATATAGGTTTTAAGTGTTACTCCTCTATTGAGGACATATGATGATTTTTTTTTTTTGGCAAGGCAATTGGGGTTAAGTGACTTGCCCAGATGTTATGCGTCTGAGGCCAGAATTGAACTCAGGCCCTCCTGACTCCAAAGCCAGTGCTCTATCCACTTTGTCACCTAGCTGCCCCCATATGATGATCTTCTGTTGCCTACTACATCTAGTGGAAATTTGTGATGTAGTGGAAAGGACACTGAATTTAGAATCAAAAGACCTGAATTTGAATCCTGAATCACATCTAGAGTTGAAAAGTAGCTTAGAGGTCATGTAGTCCAACCCCCTCATTCTACAGGTAAGGAAACTGAAGCCAAGTGACTTGTTTGCATTTATTCTCTTTATATTTATTCTGTATTTACTTATATATGTCCATGTTGTCTCCCCCATTATAATGGAAGCTCCTTGAGAACAGGATTGTTTCATTCTTGTATTTGTATCCCCAGTGCCCAGCACAATTTTTGGCATGTAATAGGTACTTAATAAATGCTTCTTGATTGGAATTGAATGAGATTGTAAGTAGCAGAGTTGGAATTTGAACTCAGGTCCTCTGACTCCTAGTCTAGCATTTTTCTTCTGTAAAAAGCTTCCACTTATGACCTGAGTAACCTTGGGTAAATTATTTCCCCTCTCTGAGGCTCAGTTTCCTTATCTGTAAAATAGCTGGACTAGACAGTCCCTAAGGTCCCTTCTAATTCTAAAATCTTATGATCCTGTGAACCCTCTACTTAGCTTTTTAGACCCTGCATAATCTTATTCCATTCTCCCGATTCATCTGTTCCCTAACTCTTGGCTCAGTTACCTTACTCAGTGCTGTTCTTCCTGCATTAAATGTCCTCTCTGCCTAGCCATATGTTCCCCATCCTTCAATGCCTGGGTTATTTTGTAAAAATTTCTCAGTGCCTCCAACCTGTCTTGATCTTTTCCCTTTTCTTACTATGCTTTAAACTTTTCGTCTCTTCTTTACAATGAACATTTTATCATATACTCTTTTGTTCAATTTCATGTCTTATACCCCAATTAGATTCTAAATTCCTTGTGAATAGGAACAGTATTGTATTCTGTGCTATCCTACCATAGCACAGACATTCCAATCCTTATTGGCTGGTATGAGGTTATGTCACTTCAGTATATATATATACAAATGTCTTTGCTTCTGACTTTTGCTGCAAGGCTGAATCCTTCTTTGGCATGAAAATTACAGTTCTACAGACAACAGATGGATCCAGGTAGTTGTAGGCTTAGTGATGTCTCAACCCCAGTCTTGCTCACTGACCTAATTTTACATTTTTTAGGCATGAGTCATAGCGAGAAGCAGTATGTGTAAGCACTTTACTTAATTTTATATTCTAGTGTTGTCCTATGGTTTTAAATTTCTTATGGTTTCTCCATTATTTGGAAGATTATTAAATGAAGATTGCAGAGGCATGCTATTTGGAGAATGTTCTCTTCTCACCTCTCTGTACATCCAAAGTAGCACTGGCACTCTTTCTCAGGACCCACAAGGAAGTCACTGACTTTTGACAGTGACATGTATTTCTTACTTAAATACTTCATTTTCTTAGTTTGATTTGGAAAGGGGCTTGATAGGAA